AAGGATGCCTCTGGCTCTTTACCCCCTACGGACTGCGATAAACAGGAGCCGATATTTGGCCCATGGATTTAAGTGCCTCAACGGGCACGACGCCCTTACACGAGACGCGAACTAGGCCAGGACAGGACCCACAATGAGCACACTCCAAATGTGATGGCCAACCGAGGGGCAGGGTCTCGTTTCGACATCCTGGACGAAGATGGGTCGGAGGATCATATTCCTCAGTTCGTTGTGGGTGGTACCTCAGCAGGTCAGAATGGGCAATCGGCAAGTTCTCAAGGGGGGAAAGAATGGCGTTCGGTGTCAGGTCATCGACGGGCCGCTGGTAAGTCAGCTGTGGGTAATACGGCCACGGTAGTGATCGAGGAGCGTGGCAAGAAATCTAGCACTGAGGCAAGCCCGATCGTTTTGAGGAAGAACACTCAAGCAAGTGCTACTAGATCGAGTTCTTTTGGAGGGCCCATGCCGAGCGGGAATGAGCAAGCAAGCCGCGCTTCCGGATCCACTAGTGATTGTCTGGTTCTTATCAGAGCTGGTCTTGACCCAAAGAAACATAGTGCGGTCACATTGGTGGAAAAGAACGTGCCGCCGCTCCCTTCTGAGGACTGGAGCATGCACGAGAGTGAGGCCATTGGAGAGCGTATAGAGCCGTGGCCAGAGGATGGACCCCCACGCCGGAGTGATTCAGATTGTGTGGTTGACCACATGAGAATGGACGAGAGCCCGGAAGATCAGCTTCAGTCCCTCGAGCAGTAGGATCATTCGTCATCCTTCTTTTTTCTTTGTTTCCTTATGAATTTGATCACTTGGAATGTTCAGAGTGCGGGCTCGCCTGAGTTTCGGGGAGTGTTCTCTACCCTTATTCAACAATACAGACCTGACATTATTGCAGTTTTGGAGCCTCGTATTAGCGGCTTGAAAGCTGACAAGTTCGTACGCCACAGTAGATTTGATAACTCTTTCCGGGTGGAAGCGCACGACTTCTCGGGGGGTATTTGGATTCTCTAGACGGATAAGGTTAAACTTGATATCCTCGAGTTTTCCCGTCAATTCGTTCATGTACGGATATGCTTAGATGAAGAGGTGAGCCTAGTTACCTTCATTTATGTCAGCCCTAATATGGCGAACCGAAGGACCCTTTGGGCTGATCTGCATCGCCTTGCCGAGGGGGTCTCCGAGCCCTGGGTTATCGGGGGCGACTCTAATTGCCGGCGAGGTTTTGCAACATCAGTCGGGAGTTTGCTGATTGGATGCTCAACTGCAGCCTGCAGGAGGTGGCCACTGACGAGCATACTTTTACATGGATCCGTGAGTCCCGTTAGGGTCGAGTAGCCGAGAAGCTTGACTGATTTGTGGCCAATACTCTTTAAATGGAAAAGTTCGATGGGAGCCGAGTTCGCCTTCTCCCAAGGTTACTCTCAGACCATTCACCTCTCCTCCTTGCCTTTGGGCGCCATTCCCCGCCGCCGAATGGTTTGAAACCCTTTCGATTTCTGGCTGCGTGGATGCTCCATCCTGGATTCAAAGACCTAGTGGACCAAATATGGGGGTCCTCGACAAATTTTGAGGAGGCCGCCACCGAGTTCAGGGAGAAGGTTAGTGAGTGGAATACCACTGTCTTCGGTAATATCTTCCGTCGTAAGCAGAGTCTGCTGGCCCGCATTCGGGGCATCCAGCGGTCTCTATAGGTTCGAGTTCTTGAGGCTAAGTACGGTTTGGACTTCTCCAGTGGGGTGCATGCAGTTACGTGGCGTGAAGGATCCTCCTTGCTTCGTGCTATCCGGACGGTGTGGCCAAAATTGTTAAAAGGACTACGATGGAAGGTGGGGAATGGCGAAGCCACTCGTTTCTGGCTAGACCCATGGCTTGGGTCGGAGGAAGCCCTGATCACGCGTGTATCCAATGTCCAACTAGTGACGGGTGTTAATGCAAAAGTGGCCAAATTTGTGGACGAGAGAGGGGAATGGGACTGGGCTCGATTACATGGAGTATTGCCGTCCTCAGTAATCTTACGTGTCGCTGGAATTCTGCCTCCCAAGCCGACGACGAGTGCAGACCGCATTATCTGGGGTGCATCAGAGGATGGAAATTTCTCAACAAAATCTGCTTATAAAGGATTATCGATGCCCGAACCGGCCTTGGCCCCACAAATGTTGCGTATCATCTGGCGGGCTCAAGCCTCACAGCGCGTTAGAACTTTTCTGTGGCTGGTAGTGAAGCAACGCTTACTAACAAACTCCGAACGTGTCCGGCGCTACCTATTGGTGTGTGCAGCTTGTGATCTTTGCGGCGAGGAAGAGACAGTAATTCATATCTTGCGAAACTGCCCGCAGGCGGAGCAGCTGTGGACCCGTCTCCTTCTGGCTTCTACAAAATCTAAATTTTTTGGGATGGAGCTCGACCTTTGGGTCAGATGGAATCTCTTGACTCCTCGACTGGGCGACGTGAAAAGTTGGGGCAACCTCTTCGCGGCGTCGGTATGGAGACTGTGGAAATGGAGAAACGATCGAGTCTTTTCGGCTACTGTCCCCAACGTGGATGTCATGGCCCAATTGGTAAGGAATGATAGCGACAACTACCAGCGGGTGGCGGCGGACTACTAGAGGGTCGGGGCTAATATATGAAAAACGTATGGTCAAGTGGACACCTCCGGAAGTCGGTTGGGCGAGAGTCAACACTGATGGCTCGGTTGTTCGGCCCACGGGATTGAGCAGTGCGGGTGCTCTAATCTGGGATGAGGTTTGTCGTTGGCTCGGGGGATTTCTTGTGCACATTGGGTCAGGAACCGTGTTGGATGCAGAGCTGTGCGGCCTCTTCAAAGGCCTCACCTTGGCGTGGGATCGGGGATTCCTGCAGGTGGAAATTGAGGTGGATAACATCCGTGTGGCGCGATTGGCATCTTCCTTGGATGGTGACGTCGTTGGTCAAGACACAATGGTAAGCTCCATCCACGAACTCCTTCGTCGAGAATGGCGGGTCAAGATCCAACATGTAGCTTGAGAAGTGAATTACGCGGTGGACTTCATGGCCCATCTAGCGGCCTCGTACCCTCTCGGGCTTCATATATTATCATCTCCCCCTCCAGGAGTGAGTACTTGGCTCGAGCATGATCGTGAGGGGATCTCGTATCCCCGGCAAGTCCTAGACTAGGCCAATGGCCTCCTTTCATTGTACCAAAAAAAAAATATTCGGAGCTCGGTTTGATCGCACGATAATTAAAATAAAACCGGGATATATATATATATATATATAATACAATTAATAATATTTATTAATAATAAACATTTAATCACATAATAACATTTAGTCAATTTAGATATTTAATATAAATAATAATAATAAGGCAATTAGACATTTAAAATAAATAAAATAGCAATATTAATAATGCCAAAAAAATATCTGCAAAATCCATTATTCAAACAGATTATATTCGGGTCACGCGATTAAATCGAAATTGCCTAACGACGAACGTTTTTCAATTAAAACGATCGAGTACTCTATCCTTTTATTTACGTCGACATCGCGACTAATAAAATAAATATAACCTTAAAAATAATATTCGATAAATAAAATATTCCGAGAACTTCTATAAATCGAACGGGACGTTACATATCTCATCACATATTCATCATCAAACTAGCATAGATAAAACTTCATCACATTCCAAATGATCTCAAACAATGTCCAGAGAAAAACTTAAAGTAAATTAACCATAGTCTTTGATATTTAGATATAACTTAAAGCATCAAAAGCGGAAGCTAGTTCCTTTTTATTTATTTGACCATTCTCGTCATCACTCTGTTGCCAACTCGAACAACCTGGGTGTGGAAAGTAAATAGGGGTGAGCATTTTCACTTACTCAGTGAGGATAACATGTCTATAAATATGTTCGATATGATAGCAGATACCATGGAATAAGCATGTAACATGAATAATTAAAGTCTTTTTTTCTTGGGCCATCCAGCAGACTAGTACTTGCCAGAAGTCTTTGCTTTGGTCCCCCTGAAAAATGGTACTGCCATAAGTCGGAAGTCTTTGCTTGGGTCTCGCAGATATAATTCAGGAGTCTTTGATTTGACTAACTATACATACCACATACCTCAAACATATATACCTTGCGATTATAAGGAACATAGAACATTGTAAGTAATCCCCACCTCGTGATTCAGTTGACTTGATCTATGAACTATGCTCTAGAAAGCTTGAGGGTTCGACTCCTCGACTATCTATATTATTGGAGGCATATATTAAATGACTTATTAAGAATTTTAATATATCTTAGTCTTAAGAAAATCAATTGATTTTCCTTGCATCGCTTAAAAATCTCTAGAAAACAATATCGTTTAATGTCTTGAAAATTATTGAACTCTTAGCTTGCTTAAGGATACTAATCTTCATCATCTAGGGTTCAGCATTAAAATCACTTAACCAGATTTTGATCACACAATCTTGCATATAATAGGTAAAATCCATTTTTTGAAACTATACCAAAAACCCGACCAAATCTGTAATGCACAGCGTTTTTAAAATATGCACGCGCTTGACTCATATTGACATGATTCAAATCAAAAAATGATCCTCAGACATCAAAAACTACAACTTTCATTTAGACTATAGAAGAATATAAAGTCATTAAGAAGGTGAAACATCGACTAAACATTTAAAACCAAGATGCTGTCAGAAAATTGAAACTAACTCCTGTGCTGTCTCACGAAACAGAATATAACTATTTACTCAAAACATATTTTCAAATGAATCTTGAACCTAAAGAAAGATAATAGATAGAACTACATTTTTTTGAAGACCTCAGTTGCAAATAAGGGCATTTAACAGCTGTGATAAAACGACCGACATTCAGAACTAGTTGCAGTTAAAAAACTGGAACACAACTCATATACAACTTCAGTCAAATAAGTATAACTTTTGCTACATACCATAAGTACAAAAGGGTTTTGCATGATTCTTGAACTCAAAGAAATTTAAAACAATGAGCTACAATTTATATGAAAAGTACACTATCAAGAAGCACGATTATAAAGGTCAAAACAGCTCATGAACAGAGGGACAAAAACCAGCGAATTTACATGTTATTCATAATCGAACTTCATCAATATAAATCCCGACAAGGGCAAATTAAACCAACCTTTTAAACATGATTTTTACATCTTAAAACATGATCAACATCATATAAATACCCAACACTTAATCTCATTTACATAAAGATGAACGTAGATCATGAAAACATGCATAAATCATCGAATTGCCTTCTCTAATCAATAGATCTCAACATCATGCTCTTAATCTAGAATTATCGACTCATCATACATCTTAAGCAAGCATAATTATTCAATTTTTTTAGAATTTAAACACTTTTATAAAACCTCTTGAAAAACAATCGATCCAAGATTGAACTTAGATCTATTTTCTCTTGAATTCTCTTTAATATCTTTAATTCTTATTAATATTACTTATTATTGATTATTAGGAACACATAATCTCAGCCAATAGGTAGGAATAGGGTCGGTTTACCGTGCTCGGGAAAAAAAGAAGAGAAAATTAGGTGGCCGACTCTCGGGCTCCAGCTCGTGTGGGGTTCTTGCGGCTCGGTCGTGCGGCGTGGCCTCAGGACGCTGCTGATGTCACGTGTTGTGCGGGGATGGTGTCTTGCGTGGATGGCGGTGCTGCGCTGAGGTGCACGCGGTGAATGGCGCGCGGGCGATGGCTGGTCGGGCTGCGGCTCGGCTGTGAAGAAATGGCTCGGTTAATGAATGGAGAACGAAGCGAATCAAAGTGAAGGAAAGGTTATAAATAATTGGAGATTATATAGAGGTCCCCATTTATTTAATTTTTCTTGATTTAAAATCCTTTAATCATAATTTTAATTATTTAATTAAAATCCTTAGCAATAAAGGAGAAGGATTAATAACCTAAGATCTAATGGAGCACAAAATTTAGGCCCTTAGTGAGATTAACGTGAGGAAAGAAAAAAAAAAAAAAGGGAAAGAGAGTTCTTGTCTTGGTTACAAAGTTAGATCATGGAGAGAGAATCCAATTCCTATGGAAATTAGGAATCCTTTTATTCTTCCAAGTCCCCTAAACCTAGCATTATATATACATCCCCTCTCCCATCAGATTTATTTTTCCCTACGCTACTTATTTAACGAGATCATAAATTTCATCATAAAAAAAAATAAGAGAGAGAATAAAACTAAATAAACGAGGACATCCACTTAATTTATATTTTAATAATGTAGAACTTAATAAAATAAACTGAATGAATTTAACTGTGCTCTTTAAAAATGATTTGGGGCGCAACG